ATTTCAAGCATGGTTTTTACCTTATAATATGATTCATTTGTTTGTCATGGGCCAAGTCCTCATAAGCTATGACACTAGAGGATATTTTTTGGGAGGGGTGGTATAAGGTGTATGGGGAGGTAAAAGGGCACTATTTCAAAGGACACACTATTTCTTTTACAATTGAATATAGAATGTACTTTTTTTTTTTTTTTTTTGGAGACGGAGTCTCACTCTGTCGCCCGGGCTGGAGTGCAGTGGCCGGATCTCAGCTCACTGCAAGCTCCGCCTCCCAGGTTTACTCCATTCTCCTGCCTCAGCCTCCCGTGTAGCTGGGACTACAGGTGCCCGCCACCATGCCCGGCTAATTTTTTGTATTTTTAGTAGAGACGGGGTTTCACCATGTTAGCCAGGATGGTCTCAATCTCCTGACCTCATGATCCGCCCGTCTCGGCCTCCCAAAGTGCTAGGATTACAGGCTTGAGCCACCGTGCCCGGCCTAGAATGTACTTATCATTACATTTATGCATCACCTTTTTTAGTGTGATAAGTTCAATCTAATCCTTTCTCATACGCAGAGACGAATGAGTCTCATGCCCTTGATTTTGACATCTTTGTCAACTTACTAAATTTTGAAGTATATTAATTGCCGTTTCTTTTTTGGTTAATGTCAATGGCCATATCACCATGACTGTACCCGATCTCAACTCTCAACTTTTTTTGGTTAAACTAGCTTTTTTGACCATTTCTTTTTAATTACATTCTGTATCACTGGAAGTCAATCAACTACATTAAAATATACTAGTTTTTAAAATTGGGTAGAACACACATGTGATAATAAAATTCAAAGTACAAATTGTATTAGTTCTTTTAAATCTTCAATATGGCTTCAGGAATTGGGACACCAGTATTTTAAAGTCTGAGTGTGGCTTGGTGGCAACTCCAAAACCATGTAAGCATAGGGTAGGGGGGAATCTCCAATTCAAGATAAGCCTATGAACCAAAATTCACAAGCATAAGAAGAAAATGAACAAATAAAATTAAGCCTATAATAAGGAGATGAATTAGTTTTGTTTAAATAAACATAGTAGAGAGATCTGAAAATGACTTTAATTGTTTAGGCTCTGAGAAGAGATGAAGGATAAAATAACATCTATTTTTTACAAAACAATTTATAAAAATACAAGCAGAAATGAAGCCAGAGCAGGTGACAAAGAATCTGTACCTGGAGGATCCCATGCATCTCCCCAGGAATAGGGTGACCCCTCACACATTTGCTGTATCTTCCAGCAGATGGCTAGCTTGTGTCATTATGCCACACTCCTCTCTGATGGACACTTCTTTGCCTTACTCCAATCTGGGACTAGAAAGTCAAGGTGTGAGGAAGGGATAAGGGGAAGCAACTTCAGCCCCTCTCCATCTAAGGCCCTCCCCACACCATCCAAAGCCCCTACAGTGCTGTCTCTCTCCATCTGTGTTCTCCTTTGTGCAGGAAGCAATGGGGCAGAGCAGATCAGTGCTGCCCAAACAGATAGATATCCAGGGAGTTGTCAGTCACATCTGCCTGCAGGCACATCCAATCCTCACTAGTGATTCTTTTGGAGCCCCTCTCCCTTGGTTCTAGATAAGGATACAGTCCCCTTGCAGGGGACAGAAAGAAGGGGTCTCTTTCCATGACATTACAATTTCCCCAAAGGCTGACTTCCCTCCCATGTCTCCAGTCTTTCTTTCCACAGATTACTGGTGATGGTGTGTCTGTGGGGAGGGGGTTGGAAATGGGGAATAGGTGAGGGAGTAGTGGAGTGGAGGTAGAATTTGGTGGAAGAGCTGACTTCTTCAACAACTGCTCTTCAAATGCCCTGCTAGAAGGTAGCTGACTCCAGCCACGGGCAGTTCTTTCAGTATAGAATGTGGGCTCCTTGTGGCCTTTTTGTTTTCGAGTTTGGGCTTCAGCAACAGATCCAGGACAATAGGAAGAGATGTATACATGGAATAAACCCTGTCAATGTCTAGTTATATAAAGATACATATCTTCTTTGCCCTTCTCTTATAGTTTAACAAATGTTGGCATACTATTTAGTTTTCTGCACCTCGCTTTTTTCCCTCCAAGTATTTCCTAGACATTGTTCCATATCAGGACATATACATGGGCCTAATTCTTTTTGATGGCTGCATAGTATTTCACAGTATACACATACTATAATTTACTATTACAACTTTCTAGTGATAGACATTTCATTTGTCTCTAGTCTTTTGTTATTACAAATGGTGCTGCAGTGCATATTCCAAATATACATCTCTTCTTATAGAAATAGCTTTTAAAAAAGTTAAGTAGACACCCCAATGGATGTTTGGCACCCAATGGACAGTCCCTCCTAATTATGCTGCAACTGGTCACATAACCCTCCTAACTTTGAAAATTCTGGGACTTATTACAAGAATTGACCATTTCTACTATTTTTTAATTGCATTACTTAGCATGTGACAGGCAGTCTGCATCCACAAGAGTGTTTCTGTTCAAAGCTGCATCAAAGTGTAATGTCTTTCACATAGGAATGCAGCAAATAGGGACCTGCATTTAAGCTGGCTATTGTGCTACAAGTGCAAATAAAGGGAGGACATGGAATAGGGCTTAGTAGAGCCCTGAGGTCACATGTGGCCAGATTCAAGTCCCACCCAATTTTCACCTAAACAATTTTAGATCTGTATGACATGCATTTTTTTTTTTTATTCATAAAATGGGATAAATACAGTACTGACTTCATGGGGATGTGGTAAGGATTAAATAAGAAAATATGCAAGATTCTTAGGACAGTTCCTGGTACATAGTAAGTGTTGAATAAACATCAGCTATGCATAAAGATCTCCCTTCAGGTGACAATTGGATATAAGGAAGCTTACTAGCTAAGGTCTAAGTTCTAAGTTCATACCTGGGCAATTAATGATCATTGGTTCACAGTTTCCTCCTTTACTTGGCTCAGGCAAATTTCTTAATTTCAAAAATGTTAAAGTGTGACAACAAACTACACTTATTAAAGAATATGGAAATAGAAGCCTAGACCTCTAGGGTTGCAAAGGGATTTCAATATCACCCTATATTAGATTATCATGTAATAATCATTTCCCTCTCTTATTATATACCAGACATTTTGCACATATTATCCCATTTAATTTTCACAAAGACCCATATTGCAGAAAAGACTGACAATCTGAGAAATCAAGTGACATGCACAACTGCATACCATTAGATTATAGAGCAGGAATTCAAACCCAGGTCTCTCTGAAAATATGAGATGTACAAACTGTCACACACTTTTCCAGTGAAACCTCACTTGTTTATAGCAGAACCAGTTCATAAAAGGTCCTGAATGCTAAGAGAAAGATTGATTTAATGTGCGGGTGGGGGACTAAGGCAGGGCCACCTTATCCATTAGGGACAGTGCAGTATGCACAGTGCTTAGGGCCTCCAATACTTTTAGGGGCCAAGAAAAATGAATATTTATTTATTTTAGAGACAGGGTCTCCCCATGTTGCCCAGGCTAGAGTGCAGTGGCTCTTCACAGGTGTGATCCCATTACTGATCAGCACGGGAGTTTTGACCTGCTCCGTTTCAGATCTGGGCCGGTTCATCCCTCCTTCGGCAACCTGGGGGGTCCCTCCCTCCTGAACTTAAGTGCGGACACCCTATCTATTGATGCAGTGCACTACAGCCCATTACTTCTGGGCTCAAGCGATCCTCTCTCCTCAGCCTCCCCAGTAGCTAGGATTACAGGCGCAGACTACTAGCCCTGGCTTACTTTTTTTTTTTTTTGAGACGGAGTCTCGCTCTGTCGCCCAGGCTGGAGTGAGGTGGTGCAATCTTGGCTCACTGCAAGCTCCGCCTCCCGGGTTCACGGCATTCTCTTGCCTCAGCCTCCCGAGTAGCTGAGACTACAGGCGCCCGCGACCACGCCCGGATAATTTTTTGTATTTTCAGTAGAGACGGGGTTTCACCGTGTTAGCCAGGATGGTCTTGATCTCCTGACCTCGTGATGCACCCGTCTCGGCCTCCCAAAGTGTTGGGATTACAGGCGTGAGCCACCAAGCCCGGCCGGGTTACGTTCTTTTGAAGTCACAAGAAAAAAATGAACTTTTAGGTCAAAGAAAATATTTTGTTATATAATATTGGTACGTCCTCTTTATATCAATGCCGTTGTAAAATATAAGTTAAATACTTATACATATATTTAACTTATATGTGTGTGAAATATGTGTGTGTGTATACAAGCCATAGGCAAAAGCGCTCAGGGCCCAAGGAAGTCAAAACGTGACCCTGCACCCGAAAAGCACGAAACCTTTTGGGGCAGTGATAACGGCAGATCAAGTTGGAAGATGGCAGATGGTAGACAAATTGTGAAAAATATCACATTTCTTTCTCCCTGTCAAAGGCACCCCCAAAGTGAAGTCAAAATAGAGATGAAATGCAGGGTCACTTCCTAACTGCGTGATCTTGGACAAGCGAGTTGACCAACCCAAGCCTCAGTTTCGCCATGGATACAATGGGGATGCCTGCTTCCGAGGTTTGTTTGACAGGGACCTAGCCTGGCTTGTTCACCGCTATATACCTTGCATATAGCAGTATATACAGTAAACGCCCCCATAAATACACGTTGAATGAATACAGTAAATGCATGCTTAGCACGGTGGCCAGTATACGGTAAGCGTCCAATAAGTGGTAAATGTTGGTTTTAAAAATAGTTTAAAAGTCTCCAAGAGCGACAACCCTAGTTCGCCAAGACGCAGGGGCGCCCCACCAGATTCCACGCAGACCTGCGCAGTAGCTCCCCCGAGAGACGAGGACACGCGACTGCGCTTGCGCATACGCGCTTTCCACCTTCCCTCCGGGCGTGAGCGCCCGCGGGGCGGGCCTCAGCGGCGGCGCGACGAGTCCAGAGGTGAGGGCTGAGGAAGGGGCGTGGCTAACGGGTTGGCCTCGGCCACCCTCTTCCGGGCTCCGCCAGCTGCGCGCGCATCTTCTCCCCCTTCTTTTGTGGTCCGGCCCATTGCGAGGGTGACAGGAAACCCTGTGCAGGGAGCGCCGCCATCTTGGACCAGCCCGAGGAAGATCCTGAGGGAGCCGCAGGAGCAGTCACCGCTGCCACCGGTACTGCCGCTACTGCCGCCGGCGCGTCTGCACCTCTCGGCCTGCCCGCGTACTTGCCGGGGCCTCGGCCGACCGCCCCCGCCCCCTCTCCCGCTGCGTCCGCACTCCTGTTCCTCGTCCTGACGCCCCCCTCCCGCCCGGAAAGCTGCCCAGCCACCAGCAACCCCCCAGGTAACCCGGGCCTTCCGCAGTGTCCGGCCGGCTGATGCCTCCTCGCGCCGGGCTCTTCAGAGGGGCGGGTGTGGCGACGGCGGAGACGGGGCTGCAGGCGGGCGGCGCCCCAGGGGCCAGGCCCCGTCAGGCCGCGGCGATCCCGGGGGTCGGCGGTGAGCGCCGCGGCGCCGGCCTGACAGGACTCCCGGGCGGGGGCGGAGGTGTCCCCTGCGTGGCTCCTGCCTGAGCCTCCTGCCCACCCCGCCCCGCGGGGCGCTCCGAGGCGTGCAGGGAAGGGTGTGTTCCGGCCTCGCCTTCCGCGCGTTCTCGGCTCGGCTGGGCAGGACCGCATCTCTCGCAGGCCCCCCTCTCGCCGCTGTTCTCCGCGGCCGCAGCCCGCCCCCGCAGGGTGTACCCACGCGTGCCGCGCCGCCCTGCAGCCCTCGAGCCCCAGACGTGGCGGTCCCGTCCCGTAGGCCGCGTCTGGCTCTGAGTACAAAGGCAGCTCTTCGCAGCCTCCTCGGCATCTCGGGGCAACTCCGGTGCCCTTGTAGATGTGGGGAGTCTGGCCCTGCAGCCGGGCCAGGGACGGGGTCTGTGCGCCTGTGCTTGCGATGTCCTGGTTTTGGTGCGTTCCTATGAGACGCGTGGACAGCCTCTATGGCCCTGAAGCTACAGAGCATCTAGAAACAATGAAGAGAAAGTTGTGGCATTTCTAGAATCTAAGAGAAGACGACAGAACTGGAGTGTTTTAAGCGTTTTAACTGTGGGCCAGGTACATACTTAGGTGTCTTTGTACGTGTTTATCTTGTCCCGTGTAGCCCTCGGAGGTAAGTTGTCTCCACTTTATAAGTGAGGAAACTGAGGCCTACAGTTGTGATGTGTGTCTGGCTGATGATGGTATATTACAAACTGGCTTCGGCTCACACTGTGGCTGGTGGTTTTTGTACTACACTCAAAAATTAGGCTACGGTTACAGGCATGACCATTTATAATGTAGTTATAATTCCTTTTTCACTGTGTTCGCATTGGATGACAGCTGATTACCCCTTTATGACCTAAAGTCCATAAAGTCAGCCACTACACTGGCAAATCCTCATGCTCGCAAACCCCAAAGGAGAGATGCCAGGATTTCAATTTCGTGTATGAAGAAACGGGTTCCGAGAGGACAGGTGCCTTCCTGGTGACCCCACAGCAAGTGTCAGAGCCCAGATTTGAACTCTTGCAAAGTTTACTGCTCATTTCGTTACTATCCCAACTGCCTTTAAAAAATTCGTATATTTTTCTAAGGTAAATATTGTAGAGGAACCAGCTGTCTTTTATTTAGATTTGATTGTTGAGGATAAATTTGACCTTGCAGTAATCCAGCTCCCACCCCTTTATTCCCCACAAGCCTTTCCAAATTTTTTCTTCCAAGTTCTGTTTAGGCAGTTTTACTTGATCATGCCTAGAGGTATGTCGTGGTTAAGAGTTTTGGAGTCATACTGTCAAGGGTTCCCCCTCCATTACTGCCACTTCCTAGTTAAGTGATCTTAAGCAAGTTACTTAACCTTTCGGACTCAGTGTCCTTATCTATAAAGGGGATAATTGAACCTGCATCTTAGAGTTGTTGCTAGGATTAAATGGGGTTTAAAGAAAGCCCTTAGCACGTTGCTTGGCATATAGTAAATCAGTGCCTGTAACAGTGCTAGGCACATAGTGGGTGTTTAATATCTTTTGAATGAATGAGAGAGGAGCATAACTTTGGAGAGCTACATGTAGAGTTAAACCTGGACCTTAATTCTAGCTCTCCATTTAGTAGTACTATGACCACGGGTAGATCACTTTGGTTTCCTTATTTGTAAAATGAGTTTTTAGGATTAGAGTTTGTTTATAAAGTAGCTGGCATGTGTTAGGCCCTCGATAAATGGCAGTTATTGTAAAGACGTAAAACCTTAGATTATAATAGCTATTTAAAAATTCCTTGAAATTAAAGCTACATTTTAAAAAGTTGTTGCTTTTTTGTATTACAGTTAAACTTTATCATTGTTGCATACTTCAACTTTGCAACAGAATTTGGAGTGTTCATTTTTATCAATGTCAAATATCTTTGCATAGTCACAGTAAGATACTGTGCTAGTGGAGGAAACTTGATTAAGGTAAATAAAATGTTAAAACTCGGGCTATTGAGAGATGTTTCATGTTTTTTTAAAAAAGGCTTGAAACATTTTTATGTGGTTAAAAATGCCAGGCATGGCTAAAGACAGCAGTTTACAAATAGAAGCATTAGAGGTACTGTACTTTTAAGAAGCTTCATCTAGACAATTTTAAATATATACAAAATAAAGTAGCATACTGAGCATTCATATACCTATCAGCCAGTGTCAACAGTGATCAGTCTTGCTTCATCTATATACACTTGCCTCCTCCCTGCCAAATTATTTTGAAGCAAATCTCAGACACAGTATCATTAGTAAAATTTTCACTATTAATCCTTTTAACTTTAGCAATAAGTGCAGGGTTTTTTTTTTTTTTTTTGCTTTTTGGGTGTTAAGTGCTTTCTTTCTGTGAACAGAGGTCCAGTATTAGAATACTTTATTTTCTGTATATAGAAGATCATCAAAGTTACTTCTCTTGCCACATTAAGCAATCCAGCTTTTTAAAATCATTATTTATATAAAAGTGACATTAAGTATATTGTCAAAAGTTAGATTTATTTTTTTTAAGTGGGTGGGCTGTTTGTACTATTGTTGAGGAAATTGACCACTCGTTTTTATTAGGTTAGATGATTAGATTAACTACAGAAGTTTTATCCACCTGACTGACAAATCAGGTAGTAGTAGTCCATTTTAGTGGGCCTTTAGAGCAAGTCAGAATGCTTCTGTTCTTGAGTTCCACGAAGGCAGAGACAGTGTTGTCTTTTTTGATCATTGCTATCTTGCCAAAGCCTGGCACAGTGCTTTGTGCTTAGTAGATACTTAACAGATACGTTCATGTTGGAATCACAGAAGCAGTCCATCTCAGCTCTGGTATTTTTAACAAAACATCATGCATGTTAAACAAACAAATAAACAAAACTTATCAATGGAAATAAGGATAAGAATTAAATCACCTGGAATATTTAGTGGGTTGCTTTTCCCTTGTTATGTCTTGGATCAACTATGTAAAAATTATACAGTAACATCGTTGGTTCTAAGGAGTAGAATAGCTATATAACAGGTTTTAAAATCAGAGCAAACAGTAAGTAGTTCAGCTATTTAAAAAAAAAAACCAAAAATATGCCCTCTACTATTGAGTGTTGGTTTTTTTTGTTTTGAGGCCAATCGTATTATTGGCTTCATAAGTTCCCCTTATTATCAGTAAATGTGGAAATAATGTTGGGAATGTTATGAGTGGGAGTTTTGTTTGTTTTTGTTTGGGTATTCTTTAACCTGTATTAAAATTACATAGAAAGTGCTTTTCACGTATTTATTGGTAGAGAAAATTTTATTTTTAATTCATTGTAATAAGTCAGTGCAGGGATCTATAAAGAAAAGTTAATACTTTCTCTCTTCCCTTTTTCTCCTGTCCGTGTATTTTTCACAATTTGATTTGTATTTCATCGTATATGAATATAGGGTTGAGTGTGTGTGTGTGTTTGAAAGTGGGGTATGCTATCGCATAAAACTCTGCAACGTGTTTTTTCACTTAGCAAAATCATGGAGGTGTTTCCAGGTTAATGCATATCGATCAAAATGGTTTCTAAACTAGATGGATATTATTTTGTAGTACAGATGTACTTTATTCAGTCATTTCCTTGCTGATAGATTATTTCCAGTTTTTTGCTGTAAAAATGGTACATTAAATGCGCTAATACCTGTAGCCTTATGGACTGAAGCTTTTGTATATGTAGGATACTTCTAAGTGGATATCTGAGCCAAAGGATGATTTGGATTATTGTTAAGATTTTTAAATATACTGATTACTTTCCAAAATGTTGGCACATTTCCACAAGCAGTATGTTTGGTAGTGTATACCTTCACATCTGTACCTACATGTTTCAAAACTAGTCGTTTATATGTCTGTGTAATCTTAGAAAGGTGTCGATTCAGTAAATAGAAACCATGCATTCTATTTTTGTCACAACGATAATTAGTGTTTAATATGTGTTCAGTAACCATTTAGATCTAAATGTACTGACATGAAAATGTGTCTGATTTTGTTGAGTGAAAAAAATATGCAGAATTTTACAAGATGGCATACCCCATTTTAAAATACATTTTTCACCTTAACAGTGGTGAAAATGGTGGTAAAAAATGGTATGTTTTCACGTGGTGAAATGATATGTTTCCACAATGGCGAAAACTGGTAGTTGCATGTTCAGGAGATGAGGTTGAGAAATCCTTTATTAAAACAATATTAAGCATATTAATATCTTTAAGGAGTCAGTTGAATACATGGCACAATTGTTAAGTGTTTACTGTGCATTTAGTAAATATTTCTCTTGGCAGCAAGGGTAGTTTATAGCTAAATTTTACATGCACTAATATCCTTCCTCTTTCTCTGATTTTTATTTTATCAGTCTACCTGTACATGCCTGAAATAAGCTAATAATAACTTAGGGAAAATCATGGTCTTTGGAATCAGGCCTGGGTTAAATTTCTAGGTCTACCATTTACAAACTTTGTAACACTGGCCAAATGAGTGAATTTTTCCAAACCTCAGTTTCTTTAATTTTTTGCATAGACATAATGATAATGACTCTGCAGAGTTGTGAGAATTAAGTAAGAATTATATAAGACAGTATAGGAAAAAGTAGTGTAGATCATTACATGGTTTACTATCAAGTGTTCTCAAACTTTTTGTAAGTAGATGAATTATAGTATTATAGATTAGTATTACTAGTATTACCATTCATTTATATCTATAAATTCTGACTGCAGTGCATCTTCTGAATGTAATTCATGTATCTTATTCAGAATATTAAATTATAATTAAGCGAGTGAATACTGCAGAGCAACATGGTACATCTCATAACCATGTGGAGGAGGCACGACGGTGGAGAGGGCAGGATGGTGTGGTGGTTAAGAGGGGATCTTTGCAGTCAAAACAGTCCTAGGTTCAGTGCAGACTTGGCTGTGTGACCTGGACGTGTTACCTGCAGAGTCTGTTTCCTCATCTGTAAAATGAGGATAATAATTAACTATGTTATAGAATAGTAGTAAGGATTAAATGAAATTGTATGTAAAATATTTAGCACATTGCCTGTCATATGTCAAGTACCCGATAAGTAGTAACTAACAATTGTATTTGTTATTGGTTTGCAAATTGTTGATTACGTGTTAAATGCCTGTTGTGTAAATATGTAGTACTTTTTTCCTTTAAAGGCAATAAAGATCTTTTATTTACATATGAACTTGATTCAAATACTTTTTATAAAATGTGGAATAAAGTGAATTTTAATTGTCCCGGTAGTTGTATACAAGTTATAGAATATTACCGAGATTTAAAAAAAAATTTATGGGGATTGTAATGTTAAGTGGGCTCATGTTTTCAGAGTTTGAACTAGATCAGCCTTTCATGTCCCTTTTTTTAGACTTAAGAGTTCTCTAAATAAAGCAAAAGCACTGTTAAATAATAGAGGAAGAACTTTTTTCCCGTCCAAAGTTAGGTAAAAATGTATCCCTCACCTTAACAATGGTATGTTTCATGTTCAAGAAATGAGACTGAGAAGTCTTTTGTTAAAGCAACATTAAGCGTATTTAGTATTTGAATATAATTCTACTGCAAATACTTTTGACTGAAATGTATTAATATCAGTCAACAATGGGAATATATGTAAACCTAGACAGTATCTTCTTAGAATAAGAAAGGGAAGACCTGTTGTGAGTGTTGATGGCTACAGTGTTAGATGTTTTCTGCCTTTGTTTACTGAAATTAGTAAGTTTGAGTAGTTTTAATTCTGCTTTTATGGTTTTTATTTGTAATTTTTAAAGAAACAAGCAAGAAAAATGTGTGGTGAGGTGAGACAGAGCCCTGGTATTCAATCTGAAATAGTGATCATTTCTTTTATTTGGAAATAGTTTCCACTATATGAATGTTTGTAATTTTAAGATACATTTTCAAAATTAGTTATCTCACATTTAATGAAAGTGTGATAATTAACAAATACACAAACTAGTACAACTAAAATTGGGTCATAATTTTATGATTAGTCTTTAAAGCATTTGAAGTAGAAATTTGGGATTGTTAGAAGTCATAGCTTTAACATAAAATAGAAGGAGCAAAGTATGTACAGCTACAACCTTCAGTTCGAAGAGGGAAAGAAATTAGGAAAAATCAAGGAGAAGAGCACAGGAGAGACAATAATTTAAAGGTGACTAAGTGATTACTTTTACTCAGGTTTGAATGGGGAAAGAAGTTAGAAGAATTAAAAATTGATTAGAAAGAAAGAGTCTGGGAAGAATTCAGGTTAAGAAGTTAATAATCTTTAAATATTTTTAATGTAAGAGATTATTTTTTCCCCTTATGTTTGGCATCTAGTTCAGAGATCAGGTAAATAATCCAGGCCAATTTTAGTCCCAGGACCAAGTTCATTCTTAAAAGTTTTGAGTCCCTAGTGCCTGGAAAAGGGAATAAAGTTGTTGTGATGTTCAGAATCAGAGTTAATCTAACTAGAAAAACTCTCTCTGCTGAAAGAACTGGTTATGGGAGTTTTCTGTGATGCAGGAGACTGATTATAAATGTGTTAGAACATGCCAAACTGGAATGGGTAGCAGGGCTTCTACTTTCACTAAATGTAATACAGATAGCTAAGTGAGAAGACTGTAGTGTGTGGAAGTGATTAATACTTTACTGTAATTAACAACTTACTCTTTCCTTATAATAATACACTTGTTTTAAATATATATTCTTTCTACAGGTTAAATGTTATTAATTATATAGAACTTTTGCTTGCAATATGGTATATAGTAAGGTGATAATTTCAGTAAATAAAATTTTCCAGTCATATTAAATGTCTGGCTTGTGTAATGTGACATTGACAGAAACACTAAAAGCCAGGCTTAAAAATACTGTAAGTCAGACTTTTTTAAATGGGGTGAAATCTTAATTTGTATAAGTAATTTTTGTCTTAAGCTGAAAGCTGGTTTGAGAATAAACTTTATTGAAAGTTATTCCCAATTTTATAATTCACCCCCTTGTTTCTCTCTAGGACCTAGCACAATGTCTTACACATTCAGAGCATTCATTTAAATAAATTGGAAAGTTTTTTGTTTTCTTTTCAAGTAGGTGAGAAATTAGAATTCTTTAGGTTAAGTCTATTTGAGGGCAAGAAATGGGCTGTGATCTTTTGAAATATCTTCTAATACACAAGCTTTCAAATTTCGCAACCTTAAGTACAATTTTATGACATCATTTATCTCAGTCCCTAGAATAGTAGATGGGAAGCACTTACTATGTTGTTAATCTGGTGGGGTGCAGTGGCTCATGCCTGTACCCCTAGCACTTTGGGAGACTGAGATGGGAGGATCGCTTAAGGCCAGGAGTTCAAGACCCAAGACCAGCCTGGTCAACATAGTGAGATGCTGTGTCTTCAAAAAGTGTGTGTGTGTGTGTGTGAGAGAGAGATAATCTGCAAGTCCTATATTAGGTTGAGCCATACGAAAATGCCAATAAAATTGACTTGAAAAATCTAGGAAGAACAGTTTCATGTGATTCAGTTTAGTTCCAACATTGATTTGGAAATCATACCATTGCTCTTTGGATGCTCTGCTGTTGATTTAAAGTAGAGTAAAAAGTTGTTTTGTGTTTATAAATTAAGTGGTTCCTTTGTATACCATTCTGTTTAAAATCAGAGTTCTGAACAAGTAGATCATTAGTAACTTACTTGATCAGTTAACAGGGAAGGGGACTTTAAAGGGAGCGGAGGCTATTTATAGTGATGTTTAACTTAAATTTATAAAGATTTTTTTGTTTGAAAGTTTTCAGAGTAATACTTCTTACTGGATATTTTCTTCTTTTTTAAATTATACTTTAAGTTCTAGTGGATATTTTCTTAAATGAAATATTGGTATAACTGGTTTCTCATATTTCTGTGGATAACACATGAGAATGTGTAAGCATCGTTCATCCAAGAGAATTTGTGTATTTGATCAATTTGTGAAATGCAGTTTTATTCTGACTTACTGTAACTGACATTTGTTTGTATTCAGTGTCCTTTTCTACCTTTAAAGGATAGCAGTGATCTGTTTGAATTACTTGTATATGCTTTCCTTCTGAAGTAACAGAGATTTCTTTGTTTTTAGTGCCACCATGGCAACTGCACCATACAACTACTCTTACATCTTTAAATATATTATTATTGGTAAGTTTATTTAACTTACACTCTTGTTCCCAAAAGGTTAACTTACAAAATATTTATATGCTAATACTTAAACAATACCGCTTCAGGAGTGACTGATTTTCTTACTGTAAAACTAAAGCTCCTTTTATGAGATTCATTTTTTGCATTAGCAGTGCAGCTTTTGCATTGTGGCCCTGGATATTTCTGTGGTACAGTGCTGGTGGGTACCTTGTGAAGTGATGTTCGTTGTTCTTGAGGGCTGCTTGAAAGCTTGTTGATGCTAGGAAGTATCAGTGTTTCAAGGAGTGCAGAAACATTCCTAAAATACTGTGAAAGCGCTCAGATCCCCCTGGGTTTCCATTATAAGGAAAAAGTGATAGAGAATATTGTTTGATTCCAAATCAATTGTGTAATATACATAAAAAACAGTATTTTTCTTAATTGGTGTTTTTTTCTTAAGTTTCAAGAAGGTTTTGCTCAAATTAAGTCTTAATGCTATTTATCCAAACATAAAACTACATTTGAAAGTACAAGTTTTTCAATGAATTGTTCACATTAGAACAGTTTGCTTTCATGTTGAACTTAATGTGTCCTTTTTAATGTTTCCTTCATCAAGGGTTAACATTGCTATAGTACAGTAAGAGATGACATCTTTTCTCCTGGGGTTTTCATGTAATGCAAATTCTTTTCTTTCATAGAATAATACAAGAAGTATAAGACAGGGACCTAGTGAATCAAGCTTCCAGAACTCAGTTTGTTATTTCTGCTTGTTACATGCTACCCCATTTGTCACTTTTTGAAATCTTCTGCTTCTATGCATGAGTTAAAGGAAACAACAACAACAATAACAACAAAAACCATAAAATTTTGAAACAGCTCAAAGTAAAAAAATTCCATTAAAAAATCACTTCCCAGCTGGTGGCTATTTATTAACAGTAATAATTTACAGCCAAATTCTGTCAGTGCTAAAGATTGGGAATAATATTCCATTTGTGTCTCACAGTGAAAACTTTCAAATCATTGTAAAGTAGGAAAATAAAAATTTGTGAAGTGTCCCAGAAACTTATGATATGTTATATGGTAAGGAATATAGCAGTCATTGCATAAAATTGAGAAATGTAATTGCCACCTGAAACTTCTTTTTTTTAAAACAGGGGACATGGGAGTAGGAAAATCTTGCTTGCTTCATCAATTTACAGAAAAAAAATGTAAGTTTAATACATGAGGTAAACATTAATAGTTGTCTTTATTGTCACGTTTCTACTTTTTAAAAAGTGTCATTTTCAGTGTACTTCATGCATTTAAATATAACCTTTCACTATATTTGTACTTTTTTTTAAATGGGTACAGATAAAATGAAATATACCAGCATATTTTAGTGTTGATTTTTATACACATTATATATATATAATCTGATTCGCTTGTTTTGATTTCTTGATGTTAAAATAATTTTTAAAAATACATACAATAATGTCAAACTTAATCTTTTTATTCTCTGACTTTCTGTTAAGGAATTGATTATCTTATGAGGAGAAATTTGCTGCTTGTATCATTTGTTAAATAACAGATTTGGAATACTTAAAATGGAATTCTTCCTACGCTTTTTTGGGTGATAGAAGGGACCAATTTGTTGTAACTGATATGCTAAATATAGTTGAAAGTGTTTCTGTATAGTAGAAATTATTTCTTTGACATTTTTGTGCTGCTTACTACAGAAGTTTGATGTAACATTTTATGAAGTGCCCAGCAGTCTATGTCCTTATACTGGAGAATGGTGGGTTTAGGTTTTAAGTGGCCTCATTATAAGGAAAGGACTAATAAATTTGTTCATTGGCTTAGACATATATAACTTGTCATTGTATAATAAGAAGTATATATTAGCCAGGTGTGGTGGCTCATGCCTGTATCCCAGTAGTGCTTTGGGAGACTTATGTGGGAGGCTTGCTTGAGCCCAGAAGTTTGAGGTTACAGTGAGCTATGCTTGTGCTACTGTACTCCAACATGAGTGACAGAGCAAGACCCTATCTCTAAAATATATGTGCGCATATATATATATATATATAACACATGCTGATTTTCTTTGAGACACTGATATTTTCTGGGATAAGAATCTGTTTGACTAACAACTCCTAGGGTCCCAAGACCATTGATTGATCTGTTATAGATAATGATTGTAAGAAGGCTAAATGGTATAATGTTGATACTGTGAAGAATTAATTAAAATCCTTATTTTTACTTAACAGATTATTTTAGTCGAGGGGTCAGCAAACTGGCCAGTGGGGCAAATCCAGTCACTGCCTGTTTTTGTGAATAAAATTTATTGGAATACAACCATGCCTGTTTTACCTATTGTCTCTGGCTGCTTTTTTGCCTCGGTGACAGAGTTGAGTAGTTTATGATAAAGACCTTTTGACTTGCAAAACTTAAAATATTTTCTGCTTGGTCCTTTCTAGAAGTTTGCTGATCCCGATTCTAGTACAGTCACATTTCCCTGACTTCTTACTTCTGGGTATTTGTAAATTTTTTTTCCAGTGGTAGCTTTAGTCTATTTATAGCCTGTAAGTATTAGTAAGCCATTTGTTTATTTAGTGGATTTTCCCCCCTAGGCTTAATTTGAAGTTTTCTGAAAATTGGGCTATTACTTTTTTTCCTCCTTAACAGTTATGGCTGATTGTCCTCACACAATTGGTGTTGAATTTGGTACAAGAATAATCGAAGTTAGTGGCCAAAAAATAAAACTGCAGATTTGGGATACGGCAGGACAGGAGCGATTTAGGGCTGTTACACGGAGCTACTACAGAGGAGCTGCAGGAGCTCTTATGGTCTATGATATCACTAGGTAAGAGATAATTTTTTCAACCTTCATATGGGGAAAATAAATCTTCTTTGGGCATTTAAAAAAAAATTGACTTAGGCATTTTTTAAAATTTGTAATTTTATGACTGTAATTGAACTTACTTGTTTTTTATGGTTTCTTAAGTTGCCATGTAAAATTTGATATAACACATTGATATTTTCTGAAAGTTTTTATGACTAAAGAAAAATTTAGGGAGATATCGGGTGAAGCTAATAGAAGAATACAGTTCTGAAAAGCAACTTCAGTTGAATGATTTGAGGATAAATAATATTTTATATAAAATGTTCTTTTAAGTAGAAAGCAAACAACTCACTCTTGGGACTTACTCTATTTAGTCTCTAGTGTTAAAGTTTACACCTCTCAAAATAAGGCCAAGCAAAGAGTTTTGCTAATCCAGCATGGGGGATTATAAAAAATTTTATGCTTGCATCTGAAGGTGTTTATTCATTTACTTTTTTTTCTCTTAAAATGGATAGAAATGACTTCAAATACTACATGCAGTAGGTTTAAATTTATTTCAACATGACTGTTTCTGGAATTCCAAAGCACTTGATGTAAAGTGATAAAACTACTGTACGTAAAGGTTTGACTTTGGAGAACATGGAAAACTGTGCCACTTGATTAGACCCTGCACTGTTTGTCTACTGTAAGTTAGAAAATGAACTGGATCACCTTTCATGTTGATGTAAAGCGCCAGTCAATAGCAATGTGACTCTGTTTCTTGAGGGTAAAGATGGGTGAGTGGGACCAAGTGATAAGTAGATTTTAAAGCATATTTCCTTTTGGAAAATGCTTTATACGGTTTCCTCTTGATGTGTCATAATGCTCATTAGCATATTAAGACTCCGGAAAGTTCTGCAGTAAGAAATTCTTTGCTGTATGACTTTATTTAATTTGGTGTTTCTTAAGCTTATTTTATTGAGGAGCACACTTTGGGAAATGCTGCCTTAGAATAAAGATATTGACTAGTTATAATTATAGTGCCTAAAGTTTCAGTAAATTTTAGAATTGGGTGGCCTCAGAGCAAAACAGAGGGAAACAAGCCTTAATGCTCTTCATTATAGCCAGGCAATCAGTGATATGATCAAGAGTATTATGGGAAGGCTATTAATAAACCTGGCCGCCTACACAGAACTGTCTAATTTTATGAGGAGTGCATTTCTGAAGACTTCACATAATTAAAAACTCAATAAAATTTAAATATGGTGATGTGTGCTAAGAATATTGTTTTTGCTTTTAAGCATATCTTTTAAGCATAGTTAATACTTTTGGTAAAATCTGTGTCTATTCAAGTCATCAAAAAAAGTACTTCAACTGGGAACAACCAGAATATGCATCAACTGATGAATGGATAAACACTATGTGGTATATCCATACAATGAAATGTTACTCAGCTATGAGGAAGAAGGAAGGACTGATACATGCCACAACATAGATGAAACTTGAAAACATCATGCTAAGTGGAAGAAACCAGACACTAAGAGATACATATTGTATGATTTCACTTGTGAAATATCCAAAATTTATATTCTGGTAAATTTATAGAGAAAGAAAGTGGATTGGCCGGGCGCGGTGGCTCAAGCCTGTAATCCCAGCACTTTGGGAGGCCGAGGCGGGCGGATCACAAGGTCAGGAGATCGAGACCACAGTGAAACCCCGTCTCTACTAAAAATACAAAAAATTAGCCGGGCGCGGTGGCGGGCGCCTGTAGTCCTAGCTACTCAGGAGGCTGAGGCAGGAGAATGGCGTGAACCCAGGAGGCGGAGCTTGCAGTGAGCCGAGATCACGCCACTGCACTCCATCCAGCCTGGGCAACAGCGTGAGACTCCGTCTCAAAAAAAAAAAAGAAAGTGGATTGCCAGAGGATGGGGAATGAGTGACTTCTAAGTGGGTTCAGAGTTTCTCTTTGGGGTGATGAAAATGTTCTAGAATTAGATAGTGGTGATCAGTGCGCAACTTTGTAACTACCCTTAAAACAACTAAATTACGTACTTTAAAAGGATAAGCTTTATGATATGTTCATTATATTGTAATAAAAACTGTTACTGGAAAAGAGTACCCCAGGCTTTAGTCAGGTGCTAAAGTGATACTTTATAGTGACTTCGATGTTGCAGTCATGACACCAATTTATTTCTGTTATTCTTTGACATTTTACAAACATAAAAGTTCCTTTTTATTTTTGTCATTAACTCTTGTTGTTACAGGGTGCTTTTCTAAATTGACAGCGTAGCCTATTGTGACAGTTGTTTTGCCATAACATTTTGACATATCTAGCATTTTAGCACTTTTTTAGCACTAGTACCACCAATTAATATTTGAATAATATTTATTTATGGATTTAAAATTATAATGATAGTGAATTTTAAATTAATAACAATTACCAGAATCCTTGGCAGAAGTTATGGTACATGTAAGTAATATGGTTTATATGATTTTGGTACTAAGCTTTTCTGTGTACCTCACTCTGCCTGCCAGCTTTGAAATTTTAAAATTCATCAAAATCAGTAGAAATGTTCGGACTTGTTTAAGGTTTATGCATGAGGTAGTAAAACGTACCTGTTGTGTAAAGTCAAGGTATGCCAATAATACAAATATCAAACACAGATAAGGCTTGTGCTTTTTAAAAATGACATTTTATCATTGTTTACTTAGAAAATTCTAAAACATTGGGGGGAAAGGAGCTATTTTGATATATATGACTTTTTTGTCATCTAAGTGATGATTCATGAGTAATATGATTAGCACAATAAAAATCTGAGTAAGGAGTTCTCAGTTCTCATTGGGAAAGAACTATATACTTTGAATAACAAATTATCTGTGAAAACTGGCAGCTAGAGATCATGGAATATATTCACAGGACTAAACTAGAAACACTTGAAGGACGTGTGGTATTTGTAAAAGAGTTCTAGGCCTGGTTTTGACACCAGTTAAGTCTTTATGGGCTTCCGTTTCCTCACATGTTAAACGAGTAAGATAGACTTATATTCTGTGAGTCTATAAATCAGAAACATTTTTAACCTCAAAAATTTTATTATCTTTGACCCCTTTGGTAGGTTCTACTGTGTATAATATTACAAATATTTGGGTTTGTTTACCATCTTAGAGCTTACTTGGCTAGTGCAAATGAACCTATGAGTTTTTAAACTCTTGCTTGGAGAAAGTAGAAAAATAGGACAGTTAAAGAATACCAGAATGATTTAGCTACCTGGTAAGAGTACAAAGTTAGGATGAACTTTTTCACTGATATCTGGGGACTTGAATTCTTGTCAATGTATAAATGTCTTCAAAGTCAATTTTATGCTGTTATGGTTAGCTTGCTCTTTAAATTATTAAGGAAAGGTGAATTGTATGCCAGCTTACAATAGTGTGACTTGGTTTTTAATGAAACTAAAATTTAAAGACAAGCCAAAGTGTCTTCCATTAAATGTGTCATGGTTAGGCATTTTGATACAACTTTGTCTCTGCTTTGTGATTGAAAATCTGTATGATTTCAAAGTAATTTGAGTTTTGACTCCACATTGGCATTTCCATCAATTTACTGTGTTGTTCCTTGCTTGCTTATTGGTCTGTTTACAGTCTGCGTTTAGGAGTAAATAGTTGACTCCTGACCTGTAATTATCAAAGTTGTTGGATATTGAGTTATTTATTTAAAAATAATACGTTTGGCTAGATTTTTGAAAAGTATGCAGTTGTATTTCACAACTACTGTTCTGAGTAACTGGTCAAAGCAAAATTATTTTAGGATATATTGATTAAAGTATATATTTTAAATATTTGTTGAATTTTTTTTCTATAATTATGTGGCAGTCACAAATTTAAACTTTTATTTTTGCAGAAGAAGTACATATAACCACTTAAGCAGCTGGTTGACAGATGCAAGGAATCTCACCAATCCAAATACTGTAAGTTAAATGGCATCTTATTACACAGAAAATGTAAGAACTAAGCTATCCCAAAAAGGGAAGCCATTTACTGGTGAGATTTTTGTCTTCAATTAGTCGAAGAAAATGTAACAGTTATTTTTCAGTTCTAATTAAACCTGGTTTTGCATTTTATTATACCTAGGTTTTTTGTTCATGTTTGTCGTTACAATTATGAATGTAGTGGTGATCTAATGTGAAGACTGAAATCTGAAATTATGATGTTAAAAGGGATCTGCATTAATTTCATAAAACTTCAGCATTGGAGGAAACTGGGCAAAATGTAGAAGAGATCTTTCTTTACGACTTCTTACAACTGCATGTGAATCTGCGTTACCTCAATAAAAATTTCAACTAGAGGAGGAGAATTAAGAATGAAAATTTCAGTCAAAAATAAAAAGGATTCTATATATGTTAAAACATTAGCCTCTTAACCAGACTGAGATTATATTTATTGAGATTTTTAAAGGCCAGTCACCATGCTAGACTCTGCAGTATACAAAGATAAACATGGATCCTTGGTCCCGAAGAGCTTATAGTCTAGCAGGGAGAGAACTAGCAGGTATGCAGGTAACTGTGCTGCAAAGTAGATTGAAGCATGAATTAGAAATAGAGGGACTAGCACAGTTCTGGGGAGCCTAGGATGATCAGTGCTGTCTGGAGAGAAAGCAGCTTTACAGAGGAATGGTGTTTGAGGGGTGAGTAAAGTTTCAGTAGATACTGTTGAGGGTATGCCAGGAACAATGTGAGGAAAGACGCACTGAGCTGTGACTGAGTTTCTCAGGAACAAGGCTCTTGTCTCTCTTGGCTTTCCCCAACACTTGGTAGAGGCCTGCTTCAAGAACTATGTCATCAGTGGTAAGATTAGCATTTATCAGGAAACGGTGGTTTAATCATACTGAGAGTCAGTTAACATTGTTCGCCTATCATGCTAGGGACTGTGCCTGAAACTTTCATTTCCATTATCACATTAAACCCAAGGTTTACATACACACCTATAGAAGGGTGTTCATAGCAGCTTTATTTGCAGTAGCCCAAAACTGGAAACCTAGGTGTTTCCCAGCCTGGTCATTGACAGGTGGATGGTTAAACAGTTCAGAACATCTCTATAGTGGAATACTACTAAGCTGTACATAGGAATGAATTCTTTATATATGCAGCAATTGAGCTGGGTCTCAAGGGCATCATGCCCAGTAAAAAAGCCAGTCTCAGAAGTTTATATACTGTATAATTTCATTTAGAAAACATTCTCAAAATGACAAAATTGTAGAGATGGAGAATAGTGATTGCCAGGGGTTAGCAAAGGGAGTGGAGGGTGGTAATGATGTGACGACATAGAGGGCAGCACAGAAGCAGTTTCTTTGTAGTGATGGAACAGTTCTGTATCCTGATAGTGATGACTGAGATCTGTACCTGAGATAAAATTATATAGAACTACCCGTGCACGAATGCACATGTGCCTGAGAATGTGTAAAAACTGAAATCTGAATAAGGGCTGGGGATTGTACCAATGTCAGTTTCCTGGTTTTGAGAGTGTATTATAGTTACATAACATCCTACCATTAGGGAAGTTTGGTGAAGGGTACACAGGACCTCACTGTTATTTTTTGTAAGCCTCTGTGAGTCTATAGCTATTTTCAAGTAAAATATTAAAAACAAAACTCATTGTAGAAGGCCCATGGAGGAGTATAATAAAATTAACCTTCCCATCCTGTGTCCTTCCTGCCTCATTTATGTGCTTTGAAATAGAACCAGATCAGGAGAAAAAAAAGGTCTTAAGTTTTTCTTAAGTGCTCCATTTTCTATAAAATTGCCCTTGATTTCTGTGTAGAAGTTGTGTTCTCTACCATTTTGTTGTGGGCATGTTTTGTATCTCTGTAATTAGCATGCCACTTTACATCTTCCCTTTCAGGGAGATAAGAAGCCTTATTTGGAGATTCAGAGAGAATCAGGAGCGGGACAGTATTTCTTGTTTTGAGTACCTATCTTATAATGAGTACCCTGTGCTCGTCATTGTGGCTTTACCAGACTTGTTTTATAAATTGATTTCAAGTATCATTATTTTATTCTTTTAAAAGACTAATGGATAGTGTATGACAGTTTCCTCCCCATCACAGTGGGCACTTTGTCCACACTGTTTAAAGAATGCTCACTTTTGTTGTACACTTAACTGTCCTTGCATAAGGTTTACATTCAGATCAAAATGATGATTTGGTTTATGGACACACATTTTTGAAAGTAGAAGAGCCAGGAGCTGTAATTTCACATGAAAAAAAAATTAATGGCTGAAGTGCTTTTTAGTTGAAACCATCCATTCCTAAAGTGTTCATATCTAGATTACCATATCTGTTTGGAAGGGGGAAGAAGGGAGGGATTTTACCAACTGGTGTCAAATAAGCTCATAAATGTACAAAGACAGTTTATCCATAACCCGCCCTCGCCACCCCAGATAAAGGCCAAAGCCCTTTGCTATTCCCCAAGGGTACGTATTTTCTTCTTACAACTTTGCAGAGCTGCCTTTAACTTTGGCCTAACTTCATATGAGTGGTTCCAAGGTGGATATAGGTAGGTGGGTGCTATTTTTGCCTTGGATTTGAACTTACTGCATACGTGCCCCAAACCCCTACTCCCAGCTTCCCCTTGTGTATACACATAGACGTCTCTTATCAGTTACTGTTAACTATAAACTCAGTCCTATCTAGGGATAATGTGGGGTAGGATAGTATTTGTCTCAAGATCACAGTTTGGGTTTCTACCTGAGATCTAATGTCCTCCTACCACTGATTCACTGAGTGACCTTCAGCAAGTCCTTTTGCCTTGAGCTTTAATTTCCTTACTGGTAGCCTAAAGGATTGTACCTAGTGGCTTTCAAACTTTTTGAGGATCTCAGAACTGTTTGAAAATCTGATGGAAGCCATGAACCTGCTCCTTTAGGACATGCCCACAATTACAGTATTTACGTGTTTCAGGGTATTTGCAGATCCCCTGGAGCTTGTCCATGAACCCTTAGTAATCTTACTAGATATATCATAATCTTTGGACTAGATCAGGTGTACCTAGTGGCTTTCAAACTTTTTGAGGATCTGAGAACTGTTTGAAAATCTGATGGAAGCCATGAACCTGCTCCTCTAGGACATGCCCATAATTACAGTATTTACAGTATTTCAGGGTATTTGCAGATCCCCTGGAGCTTGTCCATGAACCCTTAGTAATCTTACTCAGATATATCATAATCTTTGGACTAGACCAGGTGTCACCAAAGTATGTATGGCCTACGGGCCACATTCAGCCCACAGCCTGTTTCTGACTGGCTTGTGAACTAAAGATGGTTTTTAGATTTTTAAAGAGTTGTTAAAAACAACAACAAAAAAATAACCCAGCAAAGAACATGTAACAGAGACGATATGAGGCCCACAAACCTGAAGAATATACTATTTATTCTTTACAGAAAGTTTGTCAACCCCTGGCCTAGATCATTGCTAAGGTCCTTTGTAGTAATGACTTCATGAATCTGTAGCTCTGTCTAGTGGATAATTGCTAGTACTTGGTTTTCTTTTTAGGCCCAGTTATTTTTTCTATACAGATTTTTGGATTTCAGAATTTGCATGGTTGGTTTAAATTACTGCTTTTGTTATAAGTGTCTTTCTTTTGATCACAAATTAGGTAATAATTCTCATAGGAAATAAAGCGGATTTGGAGGCACAGAGAGATGTTACATATGAAGAAGCCAAACAGTTTGCTGAAGAAAACGGTGGGTTTCTTTAAGACTTAATGGTCACAATTGGGAGAATTATTAAGGAAAGGTGGGATTTTGATACTGCAGATGACAGTTTTTTGTTGTTTTTTAATGTAGACTCAGAAATCTCAAGAATGAGGAAGTAACAAAATGTGTTTCTATTTCTGTGAGATTTATGTTGCAGCAGTACAGTTATTTAGTGACAAATATAAAGATGCTCTCCACCTCAGACTTACATACTTTTTCATAAAATACTATGGGAGGAGTACTAAAAACTGATGGGAAACTTTTTCAGATGTTACTAAAGAAATGCACTTGTGGGTCAAGCACAGTGGCTCACTCCTGTAATCCCAGCACTTTGGGAGGCCAAGGCAGGTGGATCATGAGGTCAGGAGATTGAGACCATGCTGGCTAACACAGTGAAACTCCGTCTCTGCTAAAAATACAAAAAAAATTAGCTGGGTGTGGTGGCGGGCACCTGTAGTCCCAGCTACTTGGGAGGCTGAGGCAGGAGAATGGGGTGAACCCAGGAGAAGGAGCTTGCAGTGAGCTGATACTGCGCCACTGCACTCCAGCATGGGCGACAGAGCAAGACTCCGTCTCAAAAAAAAAAGGAAATGCACTTGTGAGTTAGTTTGAAGTGTCCTAATTATAGTCTGAATTTTATTTTTAGGCTTATTGTTCCTCGAAGCGAGTGCAAAAACGTAAGTATGACCAAAATATAGATATTTCAATTATATTCAAGTTTCTCAAAGTAGAATCATATATATGAAAAGTATATAATGTATATACACATATAAAGTACTATATATAAATGTGTAATGCTTACTGCAGGAAGAACAGCAAACATCTCTCTGCTTCCTTTTTTACATTTCAAAATAACATGAATTTTTGTTACCTAAAAGATTGTACTTTGATTATGCCTGTTGGTAACCCAGGTTAATAAAATGGAACTTTGTTTACATTTCAGAAGTGTTTGACTTTTCACAAATGACAGTGTTTGACTTTTCACAAGTGAGGTTGAGTTTGGCATCTCAGACAAAAGCTTGGTCAATTTAATTTTCTGATCACGTTAAAAAGCATGATTTAAGGGGTAGTGTCTACTTAAGGGGTAGTGTCTACTCAGAAGAGTAGTGAACATTTTCTAATTGTTCTTCCATGTCTGCTTTGAACTGTGTGGCACTCCCATCATTATTCTTCATTTATTAGGTCAAAAATTTCTTGTGGTGAGAGGCTAACCTGTTTTTGTTTAGTCTCAGCTGTGCTGTTAGTCCAAAGAAAACTGAATGGAGGTGTTAACGTGGCTAAGCATGATTATGTCACTATCACCCGATTAAAAACAGCTCAGTTCATGCTTGGCTGAGCAGACCATATTATTCTTGGAATTCTGATTTCAGCATGTTTGGAGAGATTTCATTTCTGTTTGGAGTATCCTCTCTGTTATCACAGAAATGACATATCTCAGTCGTCATGGTGTGTATTAACATACAGTATTTTAATGATTGCATATAACACATGTAGTTGTCCAAATACGATTTGTAGAAAGGGCTTTCGGTACATGTATGTATGTATGCTTTCCACAGAAAATAGTTTTCCGGCCGGGCATGGTGGCTAACACCTGTAATCCCAGCACTTTGGGAAGCCAAGGCAGGCAGATCATGAGGTCAGGCAATCGAGACCATCCTGGCCAACATGGTGAAACCCTGTCTCTACTAAAAATACAAAAATTAGCAGGGCGTGGTGGTGTGCTCCTGTAGTCCCAGCTACTTGGGAGGCTGAAGCAGGAGAATCACTTCAACCCGGCAGGCAGAGGTTGCAGTGAGCTGAAATCACACCACTGCACTCCAGTCTGGTGACACAGACTCTGTCTCAAAAAAAAAAAAAAAAAAGAAAAGGAAAAGAAAATAGTTTTCCATGTTCTCTTAGCTCAGTGTTCTGGTAATCTTTTACTAGATGACAATGGTTAAGTTGAAGACATCATGGCAGTTAACTAAAGATTAACAAAAGGTCAGTATATAATGTCTTGTCTTTTGTAGAAAACTGTGGTTCTCCAATAAAGTTATCAATTGCCTCTTAGGGGAGAGAATGTAGAAGATGCCTTCCTTGAGGCTGCCAAGAAAATATATCAGAACATTCAGGATGGAAGCTTGGATCTGAATGCTGCTGAGTCTGGTGTACAACACAAACCTTCAGCCCCGCAGGGAGGCCGGCTAACCAGTGAACCCCAACCCCAGAGAGAAGGCTGTGGCTGCTAGTGACCTCTTTGCCGTGGCCCCTCATTTGACCTTTCACCTCTGTCTGTTGAAAGCAGTACTTTTTACTGCCTCATTGTCTTCTGTACATCTTACTGGGTTTAATTAAAAAAAAAGAAAAAACAAAAATCTGTTGTAAAAACAGTTTAACACAATACTAAACTGCTAAACAACTAGATGTAATCAGGTTATCAAAGGCAAGTAGAGTAATAAATCTCTCCTGCATGGTAAATCTAGACTTTTTTTCCCCCTTGTCCTCGTGATAAGTATGTCACCAATATATGATTTAAACTGAGCACTGATGCTGGACTTCATGATTTTTTACCCTCCCTCTTTGGCAAGGCTTTGTCTCACTGTACGGTTTAATTTGATGATATCTTAAGCCTTTCTACCCATCCTTAACTGTTCAAGTATGTCTGTTGTAACCAATAAGTTTATTGCTGTGAAATGACTTCTGATGGTAGAGAAGGGGTTCTATAACTGCTTTTGTTTTGTTTTGGATAAATTTCCTGTTGTGTGGGTGGCATTTTTCTTGACGAGGTTTGCTTCTCTCTTAGCCTCGCACAGGGAAAATATCCATTTATCTTATCTCTCGTGCTTAATTAATAGCTTTATCTTTTTTTATACCATTTTATCCTTTTCTCTTTAACAGAAAGTAAATATGTATAAAATTTGAAGGAATCGAACTAACAATACATTCTGTGTATATTATTTTAATGAAGAAAATAAATTGATTACTGGCATTGGAACAGTATAAAATACCAGTTTGTACAGTATGACCTATATGTGACCATGTTACTCCCTTCCATTTCACACAAAGAAATAGACACACTGCAGTTCACAAGTAGTACTGGCTCCACCCCTTGGTGCTGGCAGTGTTTGGGGACATTATGCTGGAAAAAGCTCCTAGCATCAGAGGATTAACACTAGCAGATTCTGTTCCATCTTTGCACTGTTGCTTACCTGCTGATTTTCTTAACTGTTCTTGTGCAATCGACAATGTGCTAACCTGCTTTTCTCTTTTTGTAAACGTTTTTGCATTACAGGCTGCATTCTTGCCTTACTGTATAGGAAAAGAAAAAAGGCTGGGTTTATTATTGCACATTTTAAGCTTTTATACCTTTATCGTCTTGGAATGGTCAGATTCTGAACTGGACAGTCAGAACCACAGGTCTGCTGTTAAGGGATTTTAAATTGTGCATTTTTAACACTACAGTGAAATAAGATATCCCTGTGTTCATAGTATGAGGGGCTGTTTTATGTCATGTTGGCATAAATTGTTTCATAAAAGGGAAAGTGTTTCTAAAGGTGTTTCAGTGCTTGTGCTGATACAAAGTAAGTTATTACTTTGCACTAGGTGGTTTGGCCACTGAATACTGTATAGCAAGAGAAACAATCTTATTTCTTTGTACAACAAACATGTTTAAGTTCTTCATTTCTGTTGATTTTTCTTACTGTGTTTGATTCAGTGGCTGGGAATTGAGAGTTTATTTGAAGTAGAATAGGTAACACCTCAGCGCACTATAGAAAATGCACTCAGCTCAACTGCTGTGTTTAAAATACACATTTTAAATCCCTCTTTACAGACACTAACATAAAAGTACATCTTTTTGGGTTGTAAACATGTGGTAGTACCAGAGTATTGTATAGTCAATGTTAAATAAAAGCCAAAACTGGAATGTGCAGAAAATAGGCTTTGGTTAATTTGTGGATTCATTTTTATTTTTGTCTTTAACTTTTTAAAAAATAGGATTTCTGGAGTAGATTGGTATGTTCTGTTAAAGACTACAGTGATCCATTTTGCTTACACTGTTGCATCACAAGGGATTCACCCAGGGACCATGACCTGCTGGTGTGTGTGTATATTTACAAAAACAAAACAAACAAACCACCCATTGGGATATAAGGTGGCAATCACAAACGAAAGACTGCGGCTTGTTGAGGTGCAATACCCTGACTCCCAAAGTTAGTTACAGTGGGTTTTATTGTTTTTGTGACCGAAGGATTTATTCAGACTGCTGTACTCTTCATTTGATGTAACAAAATGCTATTAATCTAAATATTTGTAAATAAAGTACCTGTATCTAGATTAAAGTTGGTTGCATTATTTTCTGAACTATAATAGGGTTTATTTTCTTCAGGTGAACAAGTTGATGTGTCATCAGTTTTTATTGCAGCACTGTCTGTATTTGTTGTATAAAGAGAGGTCTACATATGTAGCATATAAAACCACATCACTAATAGAGCCACAGTTTTATTCTTGTGTTTGCATCACCCTTGAAATGTTTTCAGTCAACCATTTTCAGTGTAAGATCAGCACATTTGCTGGCTGATGCTGTTCTCCCTTGACTGTACTGGGAGCCAGATTCTATCATACGCATGTGTAATCCCCTGTAATAAACTCGGGTGCTCACAAATAGAGCAGACTGTCATATTGTAACATGTGTGTGCCAGACACTGGGCAGTACACTTTGGAAAGAATGTGAAATCCTTTTAATTTTTAATCCATAGCTTACTGCTTGTGCAGTCACCTGCTTCTCGAGGTTACTCATTGCCCTTGGACCTGTGAGGAGGCCCTCAGATTAGTAATTGGTGCTTAGTACTATTTACACTTAAATAGATGTTTCAGTACAATGTTCAAGTCTTTTTTTTATGGATAATAAAGTGATGGAGTAATTTTTTTTTTTTTTTTTGGTTGGTGGTGTACACGTTAATAGGTAGTACAATTTCTTTGGAAAGATGTCTTTTGAAGCCAGATGTTAATGTTCATACATTACCTCCCTTCTCAAATTCCATAAGACAACAGTTTTGGGGAACTTTTTTGCCCATGTGTCTGCTGTTTTAAGTGTGATTTTAAAAACATGAGTGGTTCAGTTCATTCCCTTAAACAGAAGAAAAGACCAAATAATTACCTTCCATTCCTCTTCATGTGGGAGTACAGGGTTCATGTGGCATTTTAGAGAAAAGAAAATTTATCCTCATTCAACACAGGCCCAGAAAATTGTGTCCCAGAAGGATGTCAATAATTGTGACTAGGCCAGGCCTTTTAGCATTTTGCTAAGACTTGAAACAAAAAATGTAAATACAAAAGAAATCAAGTTTTGTTTTGAAAGTAGATGCCTTCTAGAACTTACTGTGTATTAATAAATTGTCACTTTCATTATCTTTATTGTAACTCCATTGATGCCGTATCTTAACAGTCCACTTCTAGCCAAATAACTGTTTTGGAATAAAAACCTTGGTGGTGAGGGATTACTGCACTGTGCTGTTCTGTATTATAGTAACATGGTAATATGCCTGTTGTGACTCAAAAGCTGTCTAGTGATCTAGAAAACAGTTCCCGAGAATATTTTAAAACTTACTACATATTTCCCCCTTGGGAATAATTATGCCAGACTGTGAGAGCAGTTGCTATTCTAGTTTTTAAAGAAATATATACATCATAAAGTTGAGCTGTTAATTTGAATTTATCACTGGGTCATACTCTCCAAGGTACAAAATTTTTCTGATTCTCCACCAAAGAATATGTTGGCTGAGGAAAGGCATCTGAAGCATAATAGTTTTATAATTGATGTATTTCCAAATGATGAAATCTTCATTGATAAGTATAACGTACTTCAGCCTCCAGGTAAAAGAAAACCACCTGAAAGCTTGCTTACTTGGAATTAAGGTAAAAACTTGACAGCTTTTCCATAGAATTACCTGTGAAGTGTAACGTCAGCGGACAGACCCAAGTTGATTGTTATCTTTTATTTTTATATGAAAAATAGATTTCAAGCAAAATTCAAAAATAACACTATAAATAAAGAGGGCCTTAAGTACATTCTTTTTGTTAATAAGATTTACCAGTTTGTAGGTTCAGATACGCAGTTAAAATCACTGGTTTTTATTAAAAAAAAAAAAAAGTTACGAAGATACAAACAAAAAGGCTTAGCCGCATGGTTTAAATTCCCATATGCAACTATTCCCATATGTACTATGTACAAGTTATTTATAAAAACATTGGCATTAATGGTATAGGCAAAATAAACTACATTGAATTTTCAGAATCTTAGTTCACTGGATCTTGATTTAAAAAAAAAACAACTGACATTCCAATGATAAAGTCAGTGAGGTAGTGGAGGTGCTTTCCTTGAATATATTTACACAAGACAGTATTCCTCATCTGGCTGAGGCATTCTTTTCCTACAATAAGACAAAAGGAAGGATAAATCAAATTTTTGAAACAGTAAAAACAGTCTTACTAAGTGATGGCATGATGGCTTATAGGTAAATTACATATTTTGAGTACCTCTGTAAAAATGTCTTAAGATGAACCAGTGTACAAAATTCTGAGAGAAAAAGTTATTCTTAAAACTGCTAAAATTCAAGATCCTCCAATTAAAAGTTCTAGTTTAAAAAAAAAAAAATCTGTAACATCTACCCAGTGAGGAGGGATGGCATCAGTGCCAGTAACTAGTGGTTCTGATGGACCTTGTAGAACTTGTTGGAAGGAGCTCTCAGCCTTTTGGCTAAGATCAAGTGTAGTATCTATTCTTACCAGAAAAGAAGGGAAATAAAGTGTTGGGCTCAGAAGCCAGCCCCCTAACTTTTAACTAGTTCAGGCTTTTATCCCACGTAGGCCTGGATTACAACCCGAGACTTCTAAATAATTCTACCAATCTCACCTCTACCCATTGTGCGTTGGTTGCCTTTAAAGCACCTAAATAAATCTGGCTGCCACCTTGAGCTGGTAATTGAACCTGGCTCTTAAGCCCTTGTGTACTCTTCTCCCACGACTCTGGGCTGTCTTATCCCTAAAGCTTCCCTATTCAATGCCCAGTGCCTCTCACACTCCTCCTCGAACCCTGCCCTGAGGCCCATGATGATTTTGGCCTTTACCTGACTGCGTCCCACCACAGACGGTGTTAAGGTAATCATATTCAGATGGCCCTGCTGCTATTAATTAGCTGTGTGACCAAGGTGAGTCACTTGCCCACCTTGGGCTTATTAAAGAGGCAACAGTTCTTGAAAGCTCCTTGTGGCTCCACCATTAAAATATACTGCTCTGTGGTAAAGAGAGATTAGCCCGTAAGTCCTACTGTTGTCCTTTGCTATGTCCTTGACCAAATCATTTATCATTTTGTACAGATTACTTACCTATATAAAGGGATAATTCCTACCTCCAAGGATGTAAAAATTAGACAATGTATATAAAGTTTTTTATGTGCACACAATAGGCACTCGAAAATGGAAGCTGTTACCTATCTCTGACAGTTACGTGTGCTACTACTTACCAGTTCCATGAACATATTTCATGTTCCTCTTAAATGCTTATTAACCTTATCTAAGCTCACACAGAAAACCTTTGTGAAATTCAGGTTTTTTATAGACCCTAGGTTAAGAGGTCTGAATTCCAACTTCTTAAATGTAAGTTACAAAATGCAGGGAGACAGACTAAACTAGGACTCATACTGGCCTCATAGGTCTAAGCTCTTTATATTGACAGAGTAGGAAATAAAGAAATCCAGAAGTGGAGGACATGAATAGAATTAACTCTATCCCTGCCAGGTCATCTAATCTGCAGTTGTAGTCTGTTTCCTAAGCCATCAGCTTATCCACCTCTACCAAGTCTTTGCTAAAACAAGTGTGGTGTTGTGTGCCTGTAGTCCCAGCTACATGGGAGGCTGAGGTGGGAGGATCGCTTGAGCCTGGGAGGTCAAGGCTGCAGTGGGCTGTGACAGTACCAAGCAAGACCTTGTCTCAAAAAAACAAACAACAACAACAACAAAAACAACCCCAGGCTATTGTTTTGTTTTTAAAAACAGCTGCTGTTTACCTGATTTTGTCCAAGTTGAGAGTCCTCTGTGAGGGAAGACTCCAGCTGAGACAGACTGGGTGACGATGCTGAATCTGCAGAGGTGCTAGTGACCAGTTCCCCTAAAGCATCTACTTGTCTTCTCAAACTGTGTAAAGTGCCCTCTGTCTGCCGCTTTCCTTTAATTAATACTTCTGCTTGCTTGGACATACAGTGTCGGAGTTGGGCCTGAAAAGTGTTACAAGACTTAGGGTTTGACACAGAAGAAATGCACCAGAACTACAGCTCAGCTTCCTCACATACACTTGACAGGCAAATCTGGCTAACAGGAATGGTTGTCGAAAATGTTCATCTTTAAAAAGAATCGTAGGAGGTGCCAGGTAGATACTTAGTGAGCATAAACCTTTACTTTTCTGTGTTGTCATTAACTGGGCCTTTCACTTGGCCCATTTTTTCCATGCTAGCAGTGCTTAGGATTTCTGTATCCCTTGCTTCTCCATTAAATTATTGCCTCATCTCTTTTTTCCTTCTCTGTTATGACTGAGATCAGTTAGTTTATACTTGACACCTGGAGTGTCTCCTGATTATGTATTTTTTTTTCCTAAGCCTTAGTTTCTTGTCTGTGAACTCACTAGGTATTTAATCCTCAACTTCATACTACTTTTTGGCTTTTGCCCCTGCTATAATCAAATTCTCTCAAAGTCTATAGCAGCGCTGTCCAACAGAACTTTCTGCAATGGTGGGAATGTTCTACCTCTGGCTATCAATATAGAAGCCACTAGACACATGAGGCTATTAAGCACTTGAAATGTGGCAAATGAATAACTTAATTTTTAACTTAATTATAATTTATTAAAATTTAAATAACCACACATGGCTGGAGACTATTGTTGGACATCACAGGGCTCCACTCAATACTATAGCACTGCACTCTCTCATCCCATGCTTTCTACATAGCCATTCCCCCCAAATAAATGTAACCTCCCATCTATACTTTTAACTCTCACATCTTTAGGTCAACACTGATCAGTAATCCTAGACTCCTATTTTTGGCTGCCTACAGACAGACATCCTTCCCTGGATATCTCACAAGGCCTTCAAAGTCAACATGTTCGGAGCCAAACAGTTAAGCCAAATTCCTTAACTGACATTCAGCCTACTTTTCCAGTATCCCAAATCTTTCCTGCCACCACTGGCCTGTGATAACCTTATAGTTCATCACTGTGTTTCTACTTCCTGTCCCAAATACTTAGATTCTATCAGTTCTAGCTGAGGTAAAGCAGCATTACATAGGTTA